TGCGGAGTCGGAGCAGGGGCTGGAGGACGAGGTCCCTTATTATGGGCCCCCCTATGTGGGGCACCCAAGGGAACTCCCAAAGGGGGCGCTTGGATGGGGAGCGGTAAGGTGAGGAGCTATTTGATGACCAGGGAGTGGAGCTCCCCTAGCTTGAGGTCCAGGCTATGCTCCTCCTTGTTGCCCAAGCATTAATTGTAGAATCTGCTGATTTTGGGCTATGAGCTGATGCATTGTGACCAGCATCTGCTATGTATTTGGGACAGGATGGACGGGTGGAGGAGCAACCTCCTCCTCTCGNAGCTAGTGTAATTTTTTTCTTTCCTGTTTGATTTACATATATTGATCAATGATGCTCCATTGGGCTTAGGCGTGGCCTTGGGTTTGGGCGGGGACGGGGACAAAAATTAAATATTTACCCGCGGATGGGGATGTGGATGAAAATTATACCCGCTAACGGGAGTGGATCGGAGATGGACGGAATTTTTTTAAGCGGGTATGGGGATGGAGACTACCCCCACCCCCGCTTCAGTCCACTGACATCCCTAGTGTCAATGGAGGCTGAGGAAAGTTTGGAGAACCATTGTCAAGCGGATCCCTTCAAGGTGGTTGGGAACGCTCTGCACAAGGTTTCATTAGGGACGTTGTGCAGTTGCATCAAGGTTTTAAAAGTTTCAAGGTGGTCCAGCGGATCCTTCGTACTGTCAAAGGTCTCAACAGAAGACATCTTGAATTTTTGGGGGAATGGGTAGTTCACCACGTCAGTTTTGAAAGGTGTGTCGGTTTGACTTACAAGGTAGTCTACTGTCTCAGGGTCCTGCACTTTCATGGCGTTGAAGACGTCACCCAATTGATTTTGCACCTCCTTAATTTTTTTGTCCCATTGATTAGGAGGAGGGTCTCTTGAATCACCACGGAAATGGCTCTCATGCTCCATGCTTTGGTTTTCACTCTCGTCCTCTTGGAGAGCAGGGTTTCCACCATGCGGAGTCGGAGCAGGGGCTGGAGGACGAGGTCCCTTATTATGGGCCCCCCTATGTGGGGCACCCAAGGGAACTCCCAAAGGGGGCGCTTGGATGGGGAGCGGTAAGGTGAGGAGCTATTTGATGACCAGGGAGTGGAGCTCCCCTAGCTTGAGGTCCAGGCTATGCTCCTCCTTGTTGCCCAAGCATTAATTGTAGAATCTGCTGATTTTGGGCTATGAGCTGATGCATTGTGACCAGCATCTGCTATGTATTTGGGACAGGATGGACGGGTGGAGGAGCAACCTCCTCCTCTCGTAGGTTGTCTTCATGCTGACTCATGGTTCTGGTGGTGATCGCCTTTGATTCAGCAAAGAAAATATTTAGGTGAGAACTTTGTCGTTCCCACAGACGACGCCAAACTGATGATGCACAAATTAGTTTGCACACCACCTGTCAAGTATGCAGTATATAATGTAGTAAAATAAGTAGAGGGAGAGAGAAGACAAGGTTTATAGTGGTTCGGTCAACATGACTTACGTCCACTTTGAATGGCAAGGGTTGCCGGAATTTTATTATCTTCGGTATGGAGGGAGAGCATAAGATTACAAGCTTTCAGAGAGGAGGAGAGTATTTTGCTCAAAGTGAGTGAGATGCCCTCAAGTGTTGGTGGGACTTATAATTTATAGTGGCTTAGTGTAGTAATTGCATAGCTAGTTAGACGGTCATAACGGGGTTGGGTCCATTTGATAGTCATAACAGATTGGTGTGACTTTAATTGTGATTAAATAGCTTGGCGACCTCTGCTCTCCTCAACAGCAAGGAAGTTTATGATGCTCTCCAAGTGGTGAGAGTGAGGCTCCTGGATGCTCCTTGGTGGTGTAAAGGAGGCTCATGGATGACCTTGCATACTCTACCCCAAGGTGGTAGAGGAGACTCCTTGATGACTTTGCATGCTCCTTGTTGACGTAACTCTTTAAGCTTGATGAGTTTGACTAGACCGATCACATTGGGCTGAACTTGTTGGACCTTTTGGAGTTGGGTCTTAAAACTCGGACCAAGCTTATAACATGAGTTGGACCCTTGGGCTTGGCCCATCAATTCATACTCCAGTTGCACCCTCAAGATTAGGACAAAGGTAATGACCTAGATATCTAAGATTATCCCTTGGTTTATTTAATTTGGGAGGATTAGAGTTAAAATAGAATTAGGAATTAATCTGTGTGTGACTCTTGGATGATTTTAAAAGAAAAGATTTCTTTTGTATTTTGAAAACATAAATTAAGTCATTAGCTGACCCCTCTTGAGTAACACTCTTTAGTGTTCAAGATGACAAATATTTTGCTTGGGTTTAGGTTTAAAAAATCTAGTAGGGATCGTCTTATGATCATTAGCCTTCCCTAAAACAGTCTCTTTGTGATTTAGGAAAGAAAAGGGGAAGAGACTACGAGATGGGGTACTGGGCTCTCTCTATGAGCTCTCTCGAGCGACTTTGACCATCGCTCGAGCGATCTCATGGTTGGTCAAGCGGTCTATGCTCCTCAGTTAGGTTTAAGACGTGATTTTCATTCCAATGATAATTGCCCTATGACCGCCCTCCCTCCGATTGAGCAGTCGTTAACAAATCTAAGTTTCCTTGTTGATCAAGATTATCCTCATTCCAGGCCTATAAATAGGGAGAGTTTTTTCTTCAATTAGGGTAAGCCTCTTGTAAGCCTTTTGAGTGAGAAAACTCATCTTTAACCTAGAGAACTTCCACCACAACACTAGATCCCTAAGATCCCAGGCTGTCACTAGAGATTTTATCCAAGCTCACAACTTGGAGTTGAAGATTTAGATGGTTTAACAAATCCATTGGTGTTTGTATACAGGGAATCATTAGCGTGCCCATGATTGCTCAATGCCTAAATGAATCTTGCAACAAGGAGTTCAACTGAAGCTACACAAAACGTCGAAGATGGACTTTCAGTAAAGATTAAGTAGTAGATTAAGCTTTGGTAGACCAAGAAGGTTTCCCGTGGTTTTTCTTGAGAAGAGTTTTCGCGTCAACAAATTACTTATGTTATTTATTAGTTTTACATATACACTTGTGATTTGTTGCACACACGAACACTACGTGTTTGATGAATTGATTGTTTAAATCTACATATCACATATAGTTGCTTATGGGGTTCAGGTTGCCTTGGTTAGGATCATCGTGGGAGATTACGTGTTAATCAACAAATTGATAAAATCAATACACTAATCCACATGGGTGTTTTGGGTTGTAGTATTTGAAAATGAGTTCTCACACTTAACTTACATATTATTGTGTGACAACGTAATTGTGGTAGATTTAGGTTAAAATTGGTGGTCATCCGAGCTTAAATTTTAATTAACCTATTCACCACTCTCTTGGTTCAACGTGTGATTCCTCATGTATAATCGAGTGGAAAGATCCTACACGTGAAGTGTTGTATTTTCTCCACAATAACCATCAAACATAACTATAGTATACTCTTGATCATTATCGCTTGAATCTATATCTTAGATATGTTTTTATCTGATGGAGATAAGATTGAGATCTCGAACACAAGCCCTATCACTATTGCAAACCCTATTACGATCTGCAACATTATTCATTCTCAATGTTAACCAAGCAAGGGGATCATGGAACTCATGATAAGCTTGTAGGTTCCCACATCGAAAACTAAATAACTCGACCCTCCAAAGAGCATCTTTCACATGATCACTGTCACGGGGAAGGTTGGCCATTGACACCACTTGGCTAATTAGCAATCATGCTAGATCAATGAAGACTCTGATTTCAATCAACACATCAATAATGGAGACACAAAGAAATTTATGTTTCTTCACGTATCGAACACACATGCTAATTAGCGAAGGTTGTCACTACTTCACTAATCATCAATCATATTAGGTAAGTCAAGTCTCCAATACTAATTTAAGTAGCAGTAAGTGAGACAAAAAAATATCATTATTTGTTCGTGTATCAATCAAACATACAAAAACTGTTTGAATCCATATGAAAATGAGATTAAACTCTGAAAGATGGTATTATTGACTTGATAAAACTTGTAGAACAATTTATTAAAATGCCTCAAACTCCAAAGTTTTTCAGCCAATAATACGCAAGTTACTAAAAAACATAATAAAATTGCAGATTATTTGGAGTTAGAAAAAGATGACATGTAAACATTCTAGAATACTACTCATTAAATTCTAACTATAACATTTGACATGAGAATCCAATCTTGCTTGCGACGATATATTTTTGTCACAGAATATAATTTTAGCGACGTATTTTTTATTTTTTGTGACGTTTATTTTCCATTGCTGAAAATATGTTTTGGCGAAGAAATAAATGTTTTCCTTGACGAGGCTATTAGGATGAAGCTGTGACGACGCAATAAAATTGTTGCAAAAAATAATTCGCATTGCAAAAAAAAAATAATAATAATAACCATACACAAATAAGATACATAATTGTTACCTATGATTTTTTTACCTTTTTCTTACTATTTATATTGTTTGTTATTATTTTCATTTAGGTAATGTGGTAAAATAGCTTCTAATATTTGTGTTTGTACTATAATGAATTGTGTTGTGTTTCAAATTTTAATAATAGTGCTACTACTTTTGAATTTTTGCCATAAGTGTTGTTAGCGGAATAAAGAAAAGGATGATCAAGCTATTTATAAAAATAATAAATATATTTGTAATTGATTTTCTGATTCCATTTTCCTTTTTTCATAGCGGAAACATAAACCAAACAAGTGTTTTCTGTCTTTACTGTTCACAACATGGCTGAAATGCCTTCCATTATTGATTTTTTTTTTTTTTGAAAAATGAAAATTTTACCGTCACCGAAAAATGGACATTGAGGGATCCTGGAGGATAGTACTTGTCATTATAGCGTCTTAATGAAATAAATATACAAAAATTAAAATCGAATTACATACTATTTTCAGTTGAGCCAATAACATGAATCTTTTTTTTTTTTTTTTTTTTTTAAGTTAAAAATATCATATTGCAGTGATACCAGACAACATAAAATCACCCCCTTTATTGTATAATAATTAGTACAGAAATTTCATGCAATCAGTTACAACGCATGTAGCCTATGACGTCATAGACTCATTATTCCAAGTGCACACCTTAGATTTGGTGTAGTACTATTTGAGCTCCATGTTGCGGTTGAAGGGTTATAACAGTATAGGGGGCATGTGTGTATGAAGGAGAAAGCTCAAATGAAAAATGTTGCAAAATCATGGCTAGAGCAAGCTTTGCTTCTATCATGGCAAAGCTTTGGCCTAAACAGATTCTTGGTCCCCAACCAAATGGATAGAATGCAAGCTGATCTTTTGATGCCTTGGAAACTCCTTCAGCGAATCTCTCTGGTTTGAATTCTCCCACATCATCGCCCCAGTATTCGGGATTGTGATGTAATAGCAGTATTGGTAAGAAAATGTCGACCCCAGCAGGAAGCCACAAGCCACCGATGTCGTTTTGCTGGAGAGTGTGTCGATATAAACCCATCACAGGCGGATACAACCTTATAACCTCATGTAGAACCATTGAAACCTGCAAATGAAATATGTAAGCCAATTGCTACTATTTACAATACTTCTTTCCTATGTCCTATATTTACGAAGTGCCTACTAGTCCTTGGAATGTGTGGCATAACAACTTTAAGCAATTTTGTTGTTGTAGTACTTCAAACAAGCATGTTTAACCCTCCTAATGTGAAGAACAAATGTCAAGCAAAAGTATATAAAGAGAAGCCTTCTTATTGGTATCTAGTGCTTATGCCGAATCTGTCAGGTTCTCAGGGGGGTTTTGGTGCTTATAGTTCACTCTACGATATTTCAAGCCTTTCGGAATGTGAAAAGAAGTTGTTACCTCTTCTTTTGAATTGCAAAGATAAGAAAAAGGTAGAACACAAATACTATCCAAAATAGTGGAGTCTTTAGGCAAGACCACTATCTTGTACTTCTAAGTTTTTTCGAGAAATAAAAAAAAAAATGTTGAACATGGCAAGAGGCAACTATGTCTTTAAAGTGACTTCCGAAGAAAATGCAAATGAACCCTTTTTGCTTGTGTATATATCATTTGGGAACCCGAATTAAAAAATACTCATCTCTTGAGGAATTAGTAATAAATTAGGTTCACATAAAATTATAAGAGAAAAAAAATAAAAAGGAAACCAGATGTATTTAATTAAATTATTTAAATTCACATATACTTACAATCTTGAGGTGGTTTATTGAGTCAAGCTGAGGGGTTTTCTTCCCACAGATCTGTAGAACCTCTTCTCTTGCCTTCTCTTGCCAGTCTGGATGTATAGACAAGACAATCATCGTCCATGTAAGCCAGTTAGCAGTGGTCTCTTGGCCAGCAAAGTAGAACAACTTGCATTCTTCTATTATATCTTCAATTGTCATGTCATTCTCAATCTGTTGTTTGCATTGTAAAAGCAAGCCTAGTAGATCACTCTCACATGATTCCCCATTTGACATGGCTTTCTCTTTCTTCTGGATCATTTCCCTTAGCATTGCTTTTATCTCATTGTCTATCTGATACCTCCTCTTGTTCTTTTTAGTTGGTAAAAACCTATGTAAAGCATGAAGAATTAGGCCAAATTGAGATGATCAACAAAGAGTTCAATTCAAATTAGACTGGTGGAAATTTCTGCGAGCACAAGAGTTTGTGATTGAATTTTGTAGTTTGGCCCAATAACACATTTNGGCCAAATTGAGATGATCAACAAAGAGTTCAATTCCAATTAGACTGGTGGAAACTTCTGCGAGCACAAGAGTTTGTGATTGAATTTTGTAGTTTGGCCCAATAACACATTTGTACCCTATACTTTCAAAACACTCTCTAAAGTTTTGGATGAAATTGGAACCATTAGAAATTCTGTTAAAGTTAACAATTGAATATCAAAAGTCAATATTTGTAGATAAATACCCTTATATATTTTTTATTTTACCTCTCCAGAATAAACAATCTCTTCATCCCTCTTCCCTTCATATGCATTTACTAAATTTGTTCAATCTAAGTAAAATTTTTAGGAAGAAATAATATTACATAATTGAAAAAGATAAAGGGAAATTCTTAACCCCTTAGTTGTTATAAATTAATCCAAAACCACAGGGATTATGTGTGCATTTCTAAAATGAGATTAAATTCTTTATAGATTACTCGTAAACCAATGTGTTCAATGATTACTCTTAAAATTATTGAATCACATCACATATAGGAAGGTAAATTTTAATTTAATGCTGCAACAAGGTGTCATTTAGACTCACAAGTGCATGGCAAACATTGGATGCACACAATCACCATCTAAACATGTGCATCGATTAAACTTAGATTTTATGCAGTCAAATGACTGGAACTACATACATGCAGGTTCATGTGTCACCCCTTCTATTTTAGTTATTTTTAAGCTATAGGTTCATACTAAAGATTTTCACAATATTGCAAACACTATAAGCAATCAGTTCATTTCATTTGGTTGTCTTCTCTACCATAAATAAACTCTGCTTGAAGTTTGGAAATGGCATTAATTCACCTTAACCCGGGTACATATATGGCCTGATATGCTTCAAGCGCCAGAACCACCTGCTCTTTTTGAAGTTTAAAAATCTGTTGTCCTTCCTCATAGCTGCTTCCAAATGCTGCTCGAGAAATGACGTCAGATGAAAGAATTTGGAGTTGAGGCTCAATATCCAGTTCAAATGATCCTTGAGAACCAACCAAGTTCTTCCACTCATTGATCAATTTGCAACAACTGGTTGAAAATGCTGGCAGCATCCCCTGTTTATCACACGAATCCGTATATATAGCATTAGTACATAAACAGGCATGCACATCCTAGTTGTGGACAGCTTTATTTCAGTTAGAATTGTGGTTCTTGTACTTAATTTGTAATTACCTGAGCTAATTAACACATACAGGCTTCATACTTCTCCTTGAAGTTGGTTTCATAGTTCAAACAGTATTTGACCAACATTGGCCAATATAACTACCCTCCATTCAAATGTTTTTTTAAACATTTAGTTTCAATCACCTATAAACTTTAATAATTCTTGAACTACTCGTATTGTGTGATAGGAAAAGAGAAAGGCAAGAAGGGAGAGAAGGAACTAGCCAGAGCAAGACGAGTTATAAATTTTGTGCATCACATGAGACGCCCGCTAGCATTTATGGGATACAGAACACACTAGTGGACAAACTCACTTACTAAAATTCTTTTCAAAAACCACTATATTATCCCAAGAGCCCCTTCTCTTCATTTTTTCACTCCAAATTTCTTTTGTCTTCTCATTCTTCTACTTCTTTTTCTCCAAAACCACTTTGCAGGATCAGCCCAACCTTATGGCTGAAAAAGGCTGGGCTTTAGGCCCCATAATTTTAGTTATATAATTAGTCCACATCAAAAGTTTAAATCTATAAAAATTTTAAGCATTGTCAAGAGGCCTCAAAAATTTTATGCCTAATCAAAATTTTCAATTTCAATAATTTGGGTCTATAATCCAACCTATAACAATAAAAACTCAAAAAATTAAAAGTTAAAAAAAATAATAAAAGTGGATATCTACTCAAAAGTCAACCCATATTTACTCTCATTCGCTCTATCTCTCCCTAAATTAAGCCTCTCAGTAAAAACAAAAGCAAAAGTCAATACATCTCTCTCAACAACACTGACCCAGCCTCTCATTCTCTACCAAGTGTTCACATCCTCTCCCTCACACATAAAAAATTAAAAATAAATTAATTTTAATAGTAAAAATAAAAAGCCCTTACGATGATATCACTTTAGGCCTCAAATTATCTTAAGCTACCCTAGCCACTTTGTTGTCAAAACATAGCATGATGGGTCTGAATCTCCACAGAGCTGAAGATTTAATGGTGTTACAAATATCGTTAATTTGCAGGGTTTGAGTCCCCTCCAATTNCATTTAGTTTCAATCACCTATAAACTTTAATAATTCTTGAACTACTCGTATTGTGTGATAGGAAAAGAGAAAGGCAAGAAGGGAGAGAAGGAACTAGCCAGAGCAAGACGAGTTATAAATTTTGTGCATCACATGAGACGCCCGCTAGCATTTATGGGATACAGAACACACTAGTGGACAAACTCACTTACTAAAATTCTTTTCAAAAACCACTATATTATCCCAAGAGCCCCTTCTCTTCATTTTTTCACTCCAAATTTCTTTTGTCTTCTCATTCTTCTACTTCTTTTTCTCCAAAACCACTTTGCAGGATCAGCCCAACCTTATGGCTGAAAAAGGCTGGGCTTTAGGCCCCATAATTTTAGTTATATAATTAGTCCACATCAAAAGTTTAAATCTATAAAAATTTTAAGCATTGTCAAGAGGCCTCAAAAATTTTATGCCTAATCAAAATTTTCAATTTCAATAATTTGGGTCTATAATCCAACCTATAACAATAAAAACTCAAAAAATTAAAAGTTAAAAAAAATAATAAAAGTGGATATCTACTCAAAAGTCAACCCATATTTACTCTCATTCGCTCTATCTCTCCCTAAATTAAGCCTCTCAGTAAAAACAAAAGCAAAAGTCAATACATCTCTCTCAACAACACTGACCCAGCCTCTCATTCTCTACCAAGTGTTCACATCCTCTCCCTCACACATAAAAAATTAAAAATAAATTAATTTTAATAGTAAAAATAAAAAGCCCTTACGATGATGTCACTTTAGGCCTCAAATTATCTTAAGCTACCCTAGCCACTTTGTTGTCAAAACATAGCATGATGGGTCTGAATCTCCACAGAGCTGAAGATTTAATGGTGTTACAAATATCGTTAATTTGCAGGGTTTGAGTCCCCTCCAATTTTAAACAAATTGAACAATCTTCCAATTCGTTTTTGAATTGTAGTTGTACGGATAAGAAGATTTAGTTGGATCAAAAAAGTAAACTAAAATTTGAAATCCAAAATCAATTGAATCTACAGGTTTATATTCAAATTTAAATTTGAATCTACATTTTAACAAGTATACATATATACTGATTGGATTTGATAAGATTAACCTGTAATTTATCATGGTAAAATGCAGGAGCAATCAATCTTCTGCGTTTGGCCCATTTATCTCCTTCCAAGGTGTTGATTCCAAGCGTTAGAAGATCAACAAGAGGGTTCAATGGTGGCTTTTGGAACTGACCATTCTTGTCATTTAATATCTGTGCCATCAGCTCTGGGTCCGCGATTATCAGCCTGGGTCGCGTTTCAATCCAACTCATACTAATTTTTCCTGCTTTCCATATACAACATCATTAGTGAACGTCACAAATTAAAATATTTTTACTTGTGTCAGACATATCCCTATCCGTACTCAAGTCCTAATTCGGTTTTGAAAACTTCGATACGAGTATGATAAAGCTTCGATACGAGTTTCACCGCAACATCCACCTCAAAACCCGCACATAGAGTTTGGCCACTAAATCAGTATAGGTGATGATGTCGAATCATGGCTATTCGATTCTCAGTTTGCATTTAATTTTAAGATGCAATTCACACATGAATTTCAGCCCCAATTTGAATAATCCCAAATTGATGTTAATAGCATTAATATTAAACATAAGACATTGTTGGGGGGGAGTGCTTACCATATTTCTGCACCATTTGATGAAAGAAGGGGTTGACACGAGGTGCAATCTGGTGGTTTAAACTCATGGGCTTGGACCATGCTTCTTTGATCAACCTCTGACTCTCTCTCATGCCGCCATTAAAGAGCTTGTAAGAAGTGCCCCTGATTCCTTGCTTCTTTAAAAGCTTTTCGAGGCTTTTGGGTCTCCACCAGATGTTATAAAAAACTCTCAGAACAATACAAAGAGTTAGTAAAACACAAGACGCAGACAGTTTCCTCAAGGTGAAAATCTCCATCTTGTTTCAGACAGTGTTCACAAGACACAGAAGGTGTTTTAGCTTTAAACGATATGAAACTCAAATGTGATGAATTTATGGTGAACTTTCAAATCCAAAGTAAAGAAATACTTGGCTGCTATATAGTGGGCCCATTCAATTATTTAGCGTTTGGATAGGGTATTAATAGCGAGATTTTCGGGCCCATTCAATTATTTGTACTAATCCTCAAATACAATAAAGACTAATCCTCAAATATATATATATTGGATTTTGGAAAATTGAGAGTAAGGATTGATTATTTTTAGAATTGACTAGTACTTGTGCATTGCACGTGAACAACTTTGAGAATAGGTAATTGTATAATAAAATTGCGGTCTAAATTATTATCTTATTAATGGTACATCTGAAACATAACCAATTTGCTTGAGTGTTTAGATGTAATAAATATTTATCAAATTTTACACCCGTCTACTACCACCGTTAATTTCCTATAGTACATAAAACACAACAAAGATGTTAAGTTAAAAAGCATGGTACCAATGTACTTATATCGGCATATATTCAAATAATATAGGAAATTAATGCTCAAAAATGACATTATTTCTTAATATCTAAGAGATGAATCAGTTTGTCAAGATTCTGAGTCAAACAAGAACAAAACCAAGTTAAATCCAATTTCCACAAATAGGTTGTACTTGTATTGTAAAATCTAATGAGCCAACTTGCACAATTTCAAGAAACACGGTTTTCAAATTTTCATTCAAAAGCTAATGTAAAAGTTTAAGCATTGTGGCATGATGGTACACCCTGAAAGAAACATTGTTTAAATCTTTGGGTCATATCCTTGTGGCGAAATACAAATAAACACAGCAGCTGAAACCTTAGAAAAGAAACAAAATTTTGAAACAAAGGGACCAAACTAATGATGCTCACATATCCATTGGATCATTG